GTATGTATATATCAAACACCTATGATATGTGGAAAAATGTAAATAGCACAGAAACTATGATGAATATGGTGCCATTCTCCTGAAAAGAAAATTAATTCAGATTACTGTATTGTTAATTGGTTATCTGAATCCTTTTCTAGCTTTGAAGTTTTCCTGCCAACGGAGGACAATGGAACAGAAACATCCTCTATTGGATCTTTTAGTTTGAAGATGGGAGGTGTATATGACTTCATGGTGCATAAGCCTCTTGATGGAACCAATGAAACAGTAAGTGACTTCATTACTATGTAACAGTGTTATAGCAGTTTTCCCATTTCCTAAAAAAGCTATTTGGATTAAGATAGAAAACAAAATAGTATTCCTGGATCTGTGTGTGTGTGTGTGTGTGTTTGTTTGTTTGTTTGTTCGTTTGTCTTAACCAAATTATCTCATGTAATTTTCCTTTTTGCCTTATTACAGACTGTCACATTATATGAGGTCACTCCTGCCAATACTGTCCATATGCTGTGGCTCATACCACAGTATTTTATAATCACTGTATCTGAAATCATGTTCTCCATTACTGGGCTTGAGTTCTCATTCATGCAGGTATGGAATTTGCAGGTTACAAGATGTAAGATTTTTCTTTATGCATTTCCTTACATACAGTTTTTAGAAAATATTGTGAATTGATTGCAAAATAAACTCCAAAATATAAATATATATCACACACTTTATATAAAAAATGATTCATTTGATTATAACATATTTTCCAGGCTCCAAGTAGCATGAAATCAGTCTTGCAAGCTGCCTGGCTTCTCACTGTAGCTTTTGGCAACTTAATTGTTGTCATCATTGCTGAAGCCAAATTCTTTGAAAGACAAGTAAGTATAGTAGTCTAATACGTACAGTGAGAATAATTGTTAAAGTTTACTGGGAAATTGGTTTTCAGGGTGTCCCATTGAAATTAGTAAGAATATTTTTAATGGAAAAATGCATGGTAATAACTGTAATAAATAGTACAAAATGTAAATAGATCTAATGAATCTGCTAGAAAGACCAGATGAGATTGGGATGCAATAATCTAAATTAGATTTTTAGCTTAAACACTGTTAGGTTTCCAAGACATAGTAGTGGTGCACAAGAAAGCCAATATAACTAGAGTTAAGTGAACAGACTAATAACAGACTTTTGGTTTGTACTAGAATGGGGAAAGGTAGTGAGATTTAGGTGTAAAACTTTTTTCTACAGGTGAAGAACTGTGAATCACTTTGAAAATAGAGATTTGCTGAGTAACACAGTATAGATAAACTGAATATTGAAATTACATATATTTATAAATATAGATAGACTGAATATTGAAAATATATATATATTCACAATTAAAGGTCTTTCATAGGATATCATGTGTGAAGTAAAATCACTTTATAGAAATCAGGAAGAAAAAACAATTTTGTGGAGCAGAATATAGTGATTTTAAGTTCCATATTCTTAGATTATTTCCCAGGACTATAAGCATCACATCTGTACATCTTATTCTCAACTGTAATACTCAGTCATAGTAGATCCATTGATGGAGTGTGTTTTATTAGTTTTTATCATAAGTAAATAAGGATGAAGTAGCTCATTCGTAGAGTTTTGAAAGTGAATGAGCAAACTTGAATTTACACTAATATATGTTATGCAAATTTATGATTCTTTTTTTTATTATTATTACAGGCTCTTGAGTTCTTCCTCTTTGCTGTCCTCATGTTTGTTGATATGGTGGCGTTTGCTGCTCTAGCGGCAAGGTACAAATATGTAGATCAGAATGGAGAAATTGAAGATTCTAAGGAGAAGCAAGGAAAATCAGGGAAGGAAAATGAAGCTTATTCTGATGATGAGACAAACTTTTGATTAGATAATTACAAAATAATTGTGTTAAATACCCAAACACTTGTACTGTTTCTTGATATAAGTTTTGGAGTAATGTAAATAATAATTTCTCTTAATTGATAATTTACTTAAATTCAGATAAAAAAAATATCTCCTTCCTTTTGTATGATTATTCAAATAGGCTTTTGTAAATATTTGTTTTTATTGGTTGCTTGAATTATATATATATTTAGTTTTTTATTATGGTTTCTGCTCCACATCTGTAGAGTCTACAGTATATAAAAGCACGTATCAGAATATATACATAAACATGTATGATGTATTATTTTACTACATGACTCAATCAAACCACAAAGTAAAAATAAGGTCAAAGTTAAAGTTTATTTACAGTACTTAATGTTTATATTTATTGTCTTTTTATTCCATATTTTTCATGTATCTCAGCCATTAGCCTTTCATCTTGTAAATATCATTTTTATCTGTGAATATTGTAGAACAGTTTTTACAGTAACTCTAGGTTTTAACTTGGACAGCTATACCACATGTATTTTCTATCTCGTACAAGAGTCCTGTAAAACACTATAAACTTGGTGTTAGATATCTGCACTCTGTATTGTATTTTTAACAAACGCTTAGACACCAAGGAGATCTCACTTTTTTTTTCCCCTATTCCTTGAATTTTTGTGAAGTTTTTACTTCTGTTACTATTATTGTCAATACTGTTATTATTATCATTATCAAATATTCTCATTATGTTATTAATCATGATAATAGTAGTAAAACAAAAACTTTTATAAATATATATAGAATGGAACAGGAAGGTGAGGTCAGGTAAGCCTACTAATTGACTCCTTGGTGACTATACACTTGTGAAGCCATGTTTGTGTAAACAAGATAAATTAGGCAAAACCACAGTGACAGCACATATTGGCATGCACTCCTGGTTTCAACAGGTTGAATAACAAACTCATAGAAATAATACAGGAGGCAAAAGAAGAGCCATTATATTTGCACATGTATTTTTCCAGATAAAACCTTAGAAATGTCAGTTTACAGCAAATGCTTTTTTGAACAACTTTTGTACATGCAAATACAAAATTATATTTTTAACTAGTTAAATACATGTAAATCATTGTGTGAGATTTTTTGGTGGATCAGCTTTGATTTATAATTTTGTTCCAGTTAAACCTGCAGAGATACATTTTTTATGAATACCAGTGTATAATATTTTAATATTTCAGTGAAAAAAATTATTACATACTACAGTAATTTTATGTTTTATGTTCTTCCTTTTTTAGGTCATAAAATAATTTACTTCTGATGCAAAAGTATTAAAAACATAATTTTGTTTCTCTTTATCTAAAGCGAGGTGTTTTTAAATAAATATGTTTTAATAAAAAAGCATTTTATTACCTACAACTCCATTTAGGTTGATAAAAAGTGCAAACTGGAAATTAAGACTATATTCTGTTTGACACTTTACCTTGGTACATTCCTTACTATATGGAAAAAAAATCCATTCAATATATTTAATCTTAATACATAATCTTTCCTCATATTCTGTATCATAACTTTACCAAAGAAGTTTCCTTTATACATATATATATAGACAAAGTTTTTAAAGAGTGCCCTATGAATTTTAGACCTAACACTGGCCTGAATCACTTTGTCACTTTCGGAGTTTAGCAGGTTTGCTCTGTGAATCGGATTGGTCTTCAGCCGTGTCCATCTTGCCTCTGCTCCCTCGAGCCTTCTTCAGGGAACTGGAGGAAGTGGAGGCTTTTCCACCATCCTCTTGTTTGATTTGCTGATGGGAGAATATTTTTAGTAACATACCTTTTTGGTTATTTGAGCTGTAATGGTACCAGTCTTTTCTAACGAGCAAACAGAAATGAAATTGTATCTTTTACTGGAATACTAATACATGTAAGTATCCCAATGTCTAACTCATTGTCTATAAATTCTTGAAAGCTAATCTATGTTACTGTATATAAGAGGAGGATTACCCTCCAATGTCCAACCTACCTTCTCTTTGAAAACATGTGACAACTGTTCATTTCTTGATTGCCAAATCATCTGCTGTCTCTGCACAACATCAGGGTACCTAAGACATGATACATATTTAATATCTGAGCTTTAGTACTTTAGTACCGTGAATAAAATGACATAGGCAAAAATCACTATGATACCAATTTTTGTGGGACATCCTATTTGAAAATGAAGCAAATTTTTAAAAATGGGAGTGGTATATATATTTTTCTTCCTTTTTCTCTTTTCCTTTTAGGGCATTTTGTGCGACCAACTGCTCTCACTTTATGATTATTCTTTGTTCCTATTATTTTTTAACTTTCACCAAGTTATTTTTAAATCTAGATCTTCAATCTGCTTTTTGGCATTCCCTCAACTAATCAATAATAATGTCATCTGTAGCATCAATCATTATTAATAATGAATTGTATTAGAATAATACTTTATGTTCTGCCTATATTAGATATTCCAATTCTGATTAGTTAAGCTGAAACCACACACAAAACTGGTGTAGGTACTTACTTTTTTAAGAATGTTTTGTCTGTTGGGAGTAAAAATTCCCAAATTGTACGAGACGCCCGGTACCGAGCCACCCCACGTAAAATCTCCTTTATATCATTGCTTGGCAGTTTAATCAGCTCTGCTATTTCATTACGCAATAAAGTTGAGTTCTTTGTGAAGAGATACAGCTGTAAAATAAAAACCAAAACTGTCAAGAATACTTTACAAAATCTCCATATTGTAACAGAAACATTCTGTAAAAAAAATTAAGTAAATATATCTACATTTATCAAATGCTAGACTGAAAATGCAATCCAGTCTTCAGACCTTAAAACTATTATATTAGTGCCCAATTTAGGCTACACTGAAATTACATATCACAATAGATGTCACTACATCACTGAACCATTAAAGATATCACAATCAAGTTTCTTTAATTGTAACATGTCAAATGCACTACTTATGAGCATACTGAATTGTGTATAAAGTAAATAGATAAATAAATAATCATAATAATAATCAATCATAATCATAATGATAATAAGGACAATGATACAATGACAACGATAACAAAAATAATAATACAAAAAGAGAATACAAAGTAATAAAACAAAAAAAATAACAAAACAAAATCAACGATAATAATCTTAACCCATTCGCCACATTTGGCAAGAATAGATGCCATACCCACTTTGAGACACGTTTATTTATTGTATTTACACATAGATGGTTCCACAAGTTCTTAATCACCAAATAGCTAGTTATCAAGAACTACGTATTTCACCTGTTTACCCTTTTCCTTCACTTTTGGAAAGGGTTTTTTTGTATCATTTCATTGTCTAAAATATTCTAGTGACAATTTGGTAATCATAACATCAATAACAATAATAACAGTATCGATAGTAATGGTATTAATTTTCCCGCCAATGCAATGAATGGGAAAATCAGGGTCGGTAACTAGGGCCTACTGATAGACTCCTTGCCGGCTGAGTACATTTGGAGCCATCTGTATGTAACATAATTCACTAAAAACTACAGGGGACAGAACATAAATCCATGGCGAATGGGTTAACAATGGAGTGGTAAAGTCATGATGTGACACAGCCACAGCAATGTATGACTAGCTCTAAACAAAATCTAGCAATGCTGTTGTGTTGTTTGAAAGTATTTAGAATATATATTTAAGAAATAAGAAATACTAAAACTTTACGAGATAGTGCCAGGTGATTAGTGTTACATGTCTTATTTTAAGTAATTTGCCTTTGGTTTGGATCTCAATAGGTCAGAATATTTTAGTGTAAAACAGTTGAGGAGAGGCTTAAAACCGGGGCAGTGTTTTATACCAGACTGAAATCTTTTTAATACACAAATGGGTATATCTCCAATATATAACCAAGTCAAAGATTCTTTCACTTGATGATCTTGAGTCTGAATTTTAGTTGTTTTTTTTATATATTTCATATTAATTCAGATACTGTTTTGATCCTAATGTAAAGTATATGAGTTTCAGTACACTAAAACTAAACTTAAATATTGAAACCTAAAAGTATGATGAATACAGCGTGGTCAACTTTCCCACAAACAGATATTATTTTTCAGTTTCTTGACAAAGTGCCTGATAAAGATTCTAATACAAACTCCAGTCTGCATTTGTCATTTTAGATGAGGGGGAAAAAGATGCTCCCAAAATATTTAAGTGGAATGCTGAATTTTTCTTGGTTGAGGAACCAGCAAGTAAAAAAAGGGTAAGTAAAGGCCTCATTTCAGTGGAGGAGCCAGTCTTTGATCCATCAAATAATTGCAGATTTAAAGTGCATGAAATCCTTTTTTAGTATGAGATACAGCAGAAAAGCTTGTTCCTGTGACTGTGAATAATTTAATTACTGGAAGACAAACCCTGCTAGTCAGCTAGCATGAACCTGATTAACATATTCATCATACACAAACAGCTTTTTGACTTCGATGTATAAACCAGTGCCACTCCAACAAAGAAAAAAATATATATATTCAGCAGAATAACTATCACAATAGTAAAAGTAACAAAAATAACAGTACTACTAATAATGACTATAATGAAAACAACAATAGCAATAACAATAATCATAATCACATTCATGATAATAATAAAACAAGAACATTCAACACCTTACCACATAATCTCGTCCTCGCTGAATGAGTTCATTAACCACCCCGGACTCAGACTTGCCATCTTTTGGGTACAAGATGTCCGACTTCACTACCCAGTTGCCCTGCACAAGGACTGCCACTTGTTGCAACACCTTCAGCACAGACAGCGCCGTTTCAGAAGCTGTGCCACATCCTAACACCCCCAGGAGTTCCGTAAAGGATGCAACACCAGCTGGTTGGGTGAGGGATGATTTCTTTAATTCAGAAGGAGGATGGAATAATAAAACTGACTATAGATTATGTGAAAAAATATATATGCTGGAGCTTCCAGTGTTAAATGATGATAAATAATGGTGAAAACAATTTTTTTTATTATGCTTTTATGAAACTGATAAAAGTCAGCAATAACAAGAACAGATATTTCTTTGAAATGTATGCAAGCAAATATCAGCATTGTAATAAAGTAAATTAAAGTTGGAAGAAAAGTTAGTGTAGTAAAAAGAGCAATACCACCATGTGCAATGAACAAATATTCTGCAGATCCTTTATAAATTCAATTGTTAAATGGGAACTAGCATAGGAGAAAAGAAGTGTAATGACCCAAAAATTGCCAACAGTATTTGTACTCACTGCAGCATTACACATCCCCAGCTGACATTCTGTTCAAAAAATCTTTCCCAGATACTGAACTCTCTTTACATACAACCTACCATTCATCATAACTATCTTCACACGGTCATGCAGAGGAAGAGAAGACAGGGCCGAGCGAGACATAAGGTGAGAGGGCAGTCCAGGAGTAACCGATTGGACCTCCTCTGTAGGTGGAACTAACTGCTTCAGGTACTCATTGGGGTCTAGATTAAATTGGTCTATGTGTTCGTCTTCATACATGCAGTACAACTTCCTCATCTCAAATTCACTGCGCTCACTTCCATATCTGAAAAGCAAGATTAAACATTCTTCATATAGACATAAAGCAGGGGAGAGGGA